CAAAGGCCATTTATTCATTGTTTATGTAAACAAGTGTATGTAGGAGTGCATTAAAACTTTCAAAGGAAGATTGCACACCAACTTCAAGATAATGGCTACCTCTGAAATGAGTACAAGAGGATCTCAATTGTATGTGTAGCATTTCATTAAAAAAAAAAATCTGAAACAAAAAAAATTTTTTTGCAAATTTTTACTTTTACAACATGAAGGGATACAGAATCACCATATCCTGAATATCTGAATTTGTCTTTCTCTCAAGGCCTTGAAAAATTGAAGTTCAACGCTAAACCTGACTTGGAGGAAGTAGATAGTGGTAAAAATAAAAATGTAAATGAACAAAAAGCAAAGTCTATATTTTGGCTCATGAAAATTAAAGTCTAAGAAGTTTTAAATAAAACCTCAAAAACCTGTATCTGTCTGTGGTCTTGCTTTCATGACCATCTTCTATTATTTATAAAGTAATATCATCTAAGGTACTAGGTATTATGGCTTTTATTGTGCTGGTGCTCTTTGTGGGTAGATTTCTGGGGTTTCTTTTTATTTTCTTTTCAAATAATCAGCAATGTGTCTGTTGATACTATCTGAAGGTTATCATGTGAACTTAATACTAAAATGAAAATACCAAGTCAAGAAAAAAATCAAGAAGGCCCATAAGGTGCTATACAACCTTGCTCACCTAACAGAATTATCTAATTTTCAAACTCATGTATTCTCTTAAAGCCCACATGAAATGGAAGAACAATGAATTTTATTATGGGGTAATATTTTAACCAAAACTGGAATAAGATTTAACTTCTGAAAGGGAGGTTTCTGAAGCTTTATATACCATTGTGATATAAATAACACTTTTAAACCCATGGTTTGATAGAGCAATATAGCTAAAAGGTTGACAGAAGAAAGAAAATTGGGCAGCTTAAAAAAGAAAATGAACTAAAAAGTTTTCAGAAATAGGGAAAGACTTAAATGTAAACTGAAAACATCAATGTGAACTAATGACTTAAAAAATATTTTAGGGCTTCCCTGGTGGCGCAGTGGTTGAGAGTCTGCCTGCCGATGCAGGGCACACGGGTTCGTGCCCTGGTCCGGGAAGATCCCA